TTGGACTCTGACCCCGCCGATCTGAGTGAAGGGTGGCACCGAATTTCAGATACGTGGCAAATCCTTTGTGTTTCTGGACCCTGACCCCGCCGATCTGCGTGAGGGGTGCAGGAAATGTCAGACATGTGGCAAATCCTTTGTGTTTTTGGACCCTGACCTCGTCGATCTGCGTGAGGGGTGCCACCGAATCTAAAACATGCGGCAAATCCTGTGTGTTTTTGGACCCTGACCCCGCCGATCTGCGTGAGGGGTGCCGCCGAATTTCAGACATGTCGCACATTCCTTCTGTTTTTGGAGCCTGACCCTGCCGATTTGCGTGAGGGGTGTTACCGAATTGCAGAAATGTGGCACATCCTTTGTGTTTTTGGACCCTGGCCCCGCCGATGTGCATGAGGGGTGCCACCGAATTTCAGAAATGTGGCAAATCCCTTGTGTTTTCGGACCCTGACCCCGCCGATCTGCTTGAGGGGTGCCACCCAATTTCTAGAAATGTGGCAAATCCCTTTTGTTTTTGGACCCTGACCCCGCCGATCTGCGTGAGGGGTGTAAATTTGTACCCCCCCAGGAATTCTTAGAACCCTCCCGGGGGACGCTGTGCCGCCTTCGAGGCTTCTTGGGCCATCTTGATATGTTTGGTTGTCTGCACGTGCCGTCTATGTAAGCTCGGGACACATCCATCGTTTTTAACAAGGGGTCGTGGCTTGTGAGGCCCTGGAGCGCTTTAGAGCAGCGCCTGGGCATGTGGGAAGTACACGATCCTCGAGCGGGTGCGTGTGGTATGAGGGGTTCAGGAGTTAGCAGCCATGCGGGAAGCGCACAATCCTCGAGCGGGCGCAAATGGAATGAGGGTTCAGGCATTAGCTACCATGCGGGAGGTGCACCATCCTCGAGCGGGCACGATTCAGGCATTAGCTGCCATGCGCGACGTGCAACATGCTCAAGCGGGCACAAGGGGAGTGGCCTTGGAAAGGAGGGGCGGTGCACGCAAGAGTCTGCTGGCAGAGGGAGGGGCGGCCCCTCATTAGAATTCACAACATTCTGCCAGGCAGACCTTGGCATTCTTCCACGCCCCAACTTGCCACGGAGCACGGGGGCGGATATGCAAACTTCACATGTTCGTTTCCAAACCGCGGCTCCCAGGAGGACCAGGAGACTACGAACATGATCAGCACCTCCTCCCTCCTCCATCCCTCACTCCATCCCTCCCTCCTGCCTCCTCGCTGCCTCCCTCCTGCCTTCATCCCTCCTGCCTTCCTCCTGCATTCCTCCCGCCTCCCTCACTCCCTCCTGCTTCCCCCCAATTCCCCCTCCAGGTTTTCGTGTGGGCCGACGGTGGGGCCGAGTCCATCGTCTTCCACAGCAAGGGCAAGAGCCCGCAGGCCGGCGAGGGGCCAGCTGGCCCCAAGCAGAACTCGACCCTCCTGCGCAGACGCTCAGCAGGAGGAGTCGACGGGGAGGAGGTGGAGGAGGAGGAGGAGGAGGAGGAGGAGGAGGAGGAGGAGGAGGAGAGTCTCCACTCTGCCCATCTTCCTCTCCCCCCCAGGGTTCTCTTCATCCCCCTTCCTTCCCCTTCTCCCATCCCTGCCCGTCCCCCGCCCCCTCCCTTCTGCGCATACTGCCGATCCTCCGTGTCTCCCTTTCCCCCTCCTGTCCTTCCTCTCTCGCTCTCGTGCCAATCCTCGGGCTCGGACTGTAGCCATTATCCTCTCCTCTTTCTCCTCTTCCTCTCCTTCCCGGCGCTTCCGCTGCAGAAGGGCCAGATGGCGAGGGAGCAGATAACGAGGGAGACGGAACGAGAGGCGAGACTCGGCCGCGCGCCGAGGGGGGAAATGTAAGGGGGCGGGCCATCTCGGAGGGCGGCGGGGCTTCGGGGAAGATTGCGAAGTCTTCTCCGATGGCCGGAGGCCTTCTGAGTCTTCTGAGAAGGCCCGCCCCCGCCCCCGCCCTCCTTTCCCCCCTCGGCGCGCCGCCGAAAGGTGGCGGCGGAAAAGGCAGCGAGGGAGGCAGGAAGAGAGGCGAGATGACGGGGCTCCCTCTCCGCAGGCCTGCACCGGGAAGTCCAGCGGGGCCGCGTGCGTTTCCGTCGAGGAGGGCGGGGAGTGCGAGCCGAGTTGCGGTTTTGAGCACATCGTTGGCCCTCTCTTCGCCCTCTCCCCTCTCTCTCCTCGCTCTGGACTGTCGGCTTATTGAGGGTGGCCCCCCTCCGGCTTTAGATGTATGACGCTCCTCTCTCGCGGATGGCGATCCGATCGAATTCGTCTTCTTTCCTCTCCCGTTTTGTCCACTATCTCGTCTAGGACTAATAGATTCGGTATCGCGGCTGGTTGCGTCTCGAAAAATGTCTCAGGGAGGTGCCCAAGAGGGCTTCGGGGACGGATTGGGGGTTTTCCCCGATGCCGCTCTCATTGCAAATGGTTCTTTTGAGGTGTGTTTAGTGGCAGGCATTTTTTTACACAGGGCCACACCTTCCCCATCCAACGTCGTTGCGATGCACCGTGAAGCCCGAACTCAGATCGGGATTCTGTCTCGGTTTTGGATTGAAGCATGAATCCAGAACCAGATTCGCACTGGCCCCCGGAATCGGTCTAGACACTGACTTGTTTCTGGGGTGAGATTCAGAATCATGAACAAGCAGACTCGGATTTGGATCCAGATTCAGACCAATGCCCAAACTTAGACTCGTAAGCCTGTCCATTTTCAGACGCAGACTCAGTTTCAGAGTCGAATGCGTCACGTTCACGTCCCGCCTACGCGAGCCCTTCACGTTTTCGGAGCTGCGTGAGTCAGCGCACAGTCTGCATGAAGAGGGACTGCGGGCCCCATGCCACTCGATCAGTCCTTGTCAGGGGGGCTTCGGGCCTCATGCATTGTGTGTGTGTTTGTGTCCCCTTCAGGGGGCTCCTGTGCACGACGCCATGAGGGCAGACTGTGTCCAACGGCATGTGGCTACGGCAGGCTCGCGTCGCGGCGACGCGGCGGCGACCGCGGCGCGGGCGTTCAGGGTCGACCGCCGCCAGTGGCCCAGCATCGGGAGATACTGAGCGGTTCGCGCTGCCAGATGGCCGCGATCGCTCGGGGCTGTGCGACCGACGTGGCGTCGGAAGCCACCGCCGAAGGCGTCGGGGCACGGACAGTCTGCCGTTTCGTCCCGAGCCGTGTCGTTTCGACGAGCTCGTCGGAGACGAGTTTAGATCTGGACGAGCTCGTCCGCCCAATTCTCTTCAGGTTGAGCTCATCCGAGGACGGGTCCACCCGAGGACGAACTCATCCAGAGGTGAGACCTCCCGCTGACAAGCTCGCCTGGAAGTCAGCTGGACAGCGTCATCCGGACGAGTTCGTCCAGAAAACACGTTTTTCCGGACGAGCTCGTCGTCCTCCCGCGAGCTTGCCGAGGTGCCTGGGGTGGGCCGCGGCGCGGTGGTCCCAGCCCTGCTCCCGTGCGGAGGGGCCTCCCCCTTCGGGACCACGGCCTCCGACCCGCCGAGGGACTCCGGAGCCCGCCCCGCCGACGTACCCAGGAGTTCCCAGGCTCGGGGGCGGCCAGGAGGGGGGCGACGACCAGTCAGGAGCGAGGGAAGGACGTCTGCCAAGCATTTATCACGTCCTCGTTAGTCTGATGTCTGAGGGGTTGGCCGTCTTGGGGTCGCGGCGTCTCGATCCATGACCTTGATGGCTCAAGGGCGCGCTCGGTTCTCGCGTGGAACCGAGTGGCCGACTGGTTGAGAGCGGGCGGTGTCGCTTACCTTAGTTCGGTGCCCAGCCGCACCACCGTGCCCCGAGCGCCCGCCATACACTTGTCCGCTGACGTGCCCTATCGTTTCGCCGGCTGCTGGCCGCCTCTGAGACGTCTCGGCGGGCATGATCGGCTTGACGGGCCTCACCAGCATCGCTGGTTGGGCCGCTTGCAGTCAGTGACCTACCAGTGGTGTGCGCCATGTCCGACGCCGGCGTGTACTTCGAGCTGCTAGGTGGTGTCAGCCTTTACTGACAGGCCGTGAGGTTCTCGAGTAATCGGTGCCCAATCCCGCCAGGAATCGATCGCGGACAGGAGGCAGCCACACTCGCGCCAACCGCTGTCCCCGTCGTGGCCGCTGCGCAGTGGGTCATGGTGGAGACGACCGCCTTCACCTTCAAGGAGGCCCCCGTCGCCGTCGGCGTGGCGGGCACCAAGAAGGGCGAGGTCGGCAGCCCCACCACCCCGTCGAGCATCGCGGTGCTCGGGCGCGACATGCAGACATATCCCGTAGAGCGCCCGCGACCTCAGGCTCAATAAGCCCACGACTGTGGCGACGAATGTCCGCTCGATGGGGTGCTTCACTTGTTCGGTCGTGGAGCTGTGCCAGTCGCCCTTTCTTGACTGGCTCGTCAGACGACATGCCAGGCCACTGGAGCACCAACGCACGGTGGTCATGACCTTCGGGCCGCCCAGGGACATCTCGGGCTTTGAGGCCCACCGCAATTCCATGAGGTGTCTGGACGAGGGTCTAGGCTTCGGCCTGATGGATGTCCGCAACAGCGCCGCCGTCGAGCTGCCCTTCAGGGAGGCGTGGTTGGTGGAGTACGTGTACCACATGGACGTTATGCTTACCTGTGGGTCCACGGCAACGGGCAAGGGCAAGGCCGCTGCCGTTTCTTTCCAGCACGCCGTCTTCGACGGGTCGGCGATCCTTCTTCTCCGAGATGACCAAGGACTCTGGCTCCGCCCGAACTTCGTGGCCCAGGTGACCCCATAGGTCGAGCACGACGTTGCCATCCTCGAGCTTGTTTGCAGGGCTTGAGAGGCGAGGACGGTGCTGGCCACACAGAGCCGCATGAACGACAAGGAGCAGGGATGATGCTCACCCCTCCAGGGCTGGGACCGTCTCCCTGCCTTCACCTGCTCGAGCACGAACATCAGGGAGAGCCTCTTGGGCTGTGGCCTGGGGGGCTGCCTCCTCTCAGCCACCCTTGTTGTGGGCCGAGGATTGCCAGCGAAACTTGCTTCCACTTCCTCGGCCTCCCCCAGTTTTGCATCAAGGCTTTGGTGGAGCTGCTGCACCACTTAGCAGGTCTACCCGTCGCAGGCTCTTGCGCACGAATCACGTCGACATGGTCTGTGACGATTCCCAGCACGCTCTAGGACATGTACCTTGGCTCACATTGTCCACGGTCTTGTCGTGGCCCTTCGTGCGAGCGCTCTGGGCTTAGAGTGCTTACGGCGAAGGTGCCGTGATCGTTCCCCTCTGCATGGGCGCTGCCAACCTGGTCGACGTGCCCGATGCTAGGTCAACGTCGCGCTCATTTGAACACCTGGTGGGTGATCGGGGCAAAGAGATAACTGAGCGGCAAATTCAGTTGCTTTTGTCAGAATCCACTGGCAGGAAGAAAGCAAAACTTCGTGGGCCCGCGCGACTTCACTCGGATCGAGCCCTCTAGCGGTCGCCGGCCCTGTGCGCGGAGCTTCTGCGCTGGATGGTCGACTGCGACTTGATCGAGTGGCATCCATCCGGTGAGGTCTCGCGCGGCTTATTCTTTGTCTATCAGAAGTCAGGGAAGTATCGTTTGACTGTCGATGGTTGAGTACCGTGGTGCCACTTTCAGGACAGTGGCCCTGTCTCGCTGGCCTCAGGTTCCGCCTTGTCCGCCATCGAGGTAGTCAGTGCAGCGCCAAATCAGAGTGGTTCGGTCGAGATCGTTAACGCTTTCTACGACATGCAACTACCAGAGGCTCTTCGAGGCCTATTCGTTCTTCCTCGGATCCGCGCCGACCTGGTGAATGTCTCGTTTGCTCAGTGCCAGGCTATCAGACGAGGCATGCCAGTCCTGAAAGTGATTCCGATGGGCTGGGGGGTGTTTCGTTGGGCTCGCCAATAGGTTCTGGGGCGCCTGGCCAGGCTTGCGCCCGACGTCTCTGCAAAGAACACGGTCGTCGATCATCTGCCTCTTTTCAGCCTGGCGCCCTTCGCCCACGCCGAGTTCGTAGACAACTTTTCTATTTTGGTACGGATTTCGATGTGGTCAGAACAGTGGCCGAGATGTCCAGCAGGTGCCGCGCGGCGTAGACCTCCCCACTCACCCAGTCGAAGTGGGTCCCGGAGCCAGTGCGTTTCGTCGGACCTTTCCGAGCGAGGATGCCACCGCGGGAGGCCGGCCAGCTTCCTGCCCGCCTGCCGGCGCCCCGCCATGCTCCAGTCGGCGGGGGCGCTCGCGGCTTGCGGGGGCGCTCCCGCGCCCGCGGCCCGGCTCGGTCGGGCTTTCAGCAACGACGACGGCCTTTCTGGCGAGCTCGCGCCGTTGGCTGCCGCCGGCACCTCCCTCGCGCCAGAGGTGCCGCGAGCGACCTGCATCGAGCCAGCCGCTGCCCGACCGCGGGGTCGAGGCGGGCCCGCGGGCCGCCCGCGCAGCCCGGCGCCAGAGGGACTACGGCGGGGAGCCCGCGACCGACGAGCTTGGCCCGACTGCGCTCGCGAAGCATGCCGCGAGGGGGCATCGGGGTGACAGGTGCGAGCGCGCAGTTAGCCAGTTCGACCTGTGGCGCGCGACGGCCGTCGCGGCGATCGACCCCACTTGGCAGCTAGACGCAGCGGTGACGGCCCTCCTGCACGAGCAGTTCCTCGAGGGCCCCCCGAGTTTCGCAGGGGCCTGCCCGCTGGCCGCCCTGGCGCGCTGCCGGCTGGACCTGTCGCCCAAGTCGCCGGATCTCGCGCGAGCAAGGCGGGCCACCCTGCTGGGCCTGGCGAGGGCGGCGCCCCGCCGCTCGCGCTGGCCCCTCCCGCGGCCGCTCGCGGCGCTGGTAGCGAGCGCCATCGTCGACCAGATGCTCGGGATCGCGGCGGCTGCGACGCCCCTGTGCTTGTGGAGTTCGCGTGGGCGGGCGGCCTCCTGACCCGCCTCGGCATCGACCGCGGCGCTGCGCTGCCGCTGCGCGACCAGGCGCGCGCGACCTGGGCCGCCCTGTTTTCCAGGCCGCGGTCGTCGTGGGCCTCGGCGCCCCGGGGCCGCCCGAGATGCCCGCGCGGCCGCAGCGGGCCCCCGCGATCGCCCGGCAGCGCGCCCCCGCCGTCGCGGCCAGCATCGGCAACGGGATCTTGGACATGCTGTCCATCGGGCGGCGCGGGGCTGGCAGCAGATCGCGCTCGAGTTCTTTTCTGTCTCGGGCCACCTTGCTCGTGCCTGGCGCCGCTCCGCTGTGTTGAGACACGTTGAGCTAATCGAGATAGATATCCGACATGAGCCTCAGTTCGACCTGCTCAATGAAGGGCTCGTGCGAAGAATTCGGGGCTGGACGCGCGCTGGTCTGCTCGCGGCTGTCTGGCTGGCTCCTCCCTGCTCCTCCTTCTCCGCCCTCCGATGCCTTTTCGCGCCTGTTTGGTCCTGGGCCTTCCTCTCGGCCTTCGTTTTCTTTCTCCATCAGACCGGCGCGTCGTCAACATGGCCAATCGATCGTGTAATGTTGCCTCGGGCCTCCTCGACCTGTGTAGAAAATTCGGCGCTTTTGTGTTGTAGAGAATCTTCTCACGAGCCTCATGTAGAATGTGCGAGCCTTTGAGGATCTAGCCATGGCTCTCGAGGTCAACGCGTGTGGCATTGACTACTGCGCCTGGTGTACCCCTTGGCGCAAGCGGACCAAAAATCTGCATGGTTACATCTCGTGCGGTCATCTGAGCAGAACCTGTCGAGGCCGAGGTGTGTATATATGTATATATGTATGTTTACGCATGTTCTGGCAAGTGGCACGTTGAAATCATCGTCAATCACCTTTTGTGGCATCAAACGCACCAAGTTTGCAGAGCCATGCCCACCTTCGCTCTGCACCGCTTTCGCTGACCGCTGTTATGGCGAAGGCGGCCGCCCGTTTCTAAAATATTCGGCTAATCTACTTTTCTTATACATATATATATATGTTACAAGTATACGCATGGAGTGACGTCTTGGCGCTCACTTGGCCATGAAGAAAGCAGAGCTCATATGCCAAGTGCCGATCACATTCTTGTTCGTACGATGTCTGAAGGTTTGGACGTTTTGGGGTCGCGGCGCTTCGATCTGTGACCTTGACGGCTCAAGCGCCCGCCCTAGTATCCCTTCCCACGGATTTGCGCAGAGGTCTCGGAGGTCGAGTTGCAGGGCGTGGGACACCCCACTGTCCGGCGTCTTGTTTTCTTTGTCCCGGTTGCCGTTTGTGGCGTTCATTTGGCATTGAAGAAAGCAGAGCTCACAAGAGGTATACTTAAACCCACACTGGTTTCGAGAGTGCGCACTGCGCGGACGCTCGCATCACGCGGCTGGTCTCGCGGACCGGGGGGCCGTGTTCAGGTGCGTGGTTGGGCGCGCACGTCTTTTGCTGGCTCCCCAGCCAGGGGGGGGACATGATCTCAGATCGGGGGCCCTGTTTTCTACACGTCCCCCCCTCCCTTTGGGCCGCGCACATGCTTCCGGCCATGGTTTGCGACCCCCCTTTCTGGACGGCGCCTTTTTGGACGCCCCCGACCAGGCGGCGGCGCTGGGGCCAGGCAGCCCCCGTCTGCCCTCTCGCTCCCGCCCTCCTCGCGCCCGGGGGCCCCTGCCTGGAGGAGGTCGTGGCCTGGCTCGAGGACGCCCTGGCCGATCTGGACATCGGAGACGCGGAGCGCTAGCCGCGCGATCGGCGTCCCTGGAGTGCCCCGCCTCCCCTCCCTCCCTCTCTCCCTCCCCTCCCCCCATCCCTCTTCCCTCCTCCTCCCCCCATCCCTCCTCCTGTTCCTCCTCCTCCTCCTCCTCCTCCTCCTCCTCCTCCTCCTCCTCCTCCTCCTCCTCGCACGAGTGGTGAGCATGTAGATGTATGCGTTGATCGTTTTCCGGTCTCACCCTTTTCCTCGTGCTACTGCGCCAAGCTGCGACGCCCCCGCTGGCGATGGCTGCAGGTCCGATGTCCGATGGTCTTCTCTCCTCTCGGGGGGCGTCCGCTCTACGTCTACACCGACCCTGGGCCGCCCAGGATCGGTACATACGCTCTTCTGGCTTGGCGAGAAATGCGCCACGCAGCCTCATGCGGGGAAGGGCTGTGTCACTGGCAAGGTTGGGACGATAACCTCTAGGCCTCCTATATGGGGTCGGAGGATCGCGCCGCATCGCCGATGCGTCGACGATGCGGCTCGATGAGGAAGCCGTGTTTCCCCACGCCGACGTCGGCGATGCATCGCCGATGCATCGCCGATGCATCGGCGATGCATTGGCGGTGCATTGGCGATTCGGCACGATCCTTCGACCCCATCCACTCGGACTCCATCTAGGGGGCTTCCATAACCTCACGTCGCCGCCTGCGGCCAATATCGCAGAGTTGTTCGCCTCCAGAGGGCGGCGCGGAGCGCGAGGCTAGGAGACCCAGCAGCGGGGGTGCGCTGCGGGTGGATCGGCTGTGGGTGCACGGAGGGTCGTTTTTGTTGAGCCGGCCGCCGTCGCGGAAGGCCGATCGAGGCGACTCCCATCCACAGGCTCCCGGCGAGATCCGGCCGCCGCTGCTGGATCCCCCTGAGGGGCAACGTTGAGAGGGGATATGCTCGGGGGCGGGGGGGGACGCATCGACCCCCAATCGCCCACTCATCGCCGACAGGGGCCCGAAAGCCCACCCCGCCCAGGAAAGTACGTATTCGCTCTATCGGGAGCCTATCGTCGATCTAGCTGCGATGTGTCGCCGATTCCAGCTCTATGTTTCCGCCCTGAACTCCCCCTCCCCCCCGAAGAGGGCCACTGGAGCGAAGGTCGCCATAGGGGAAACTTGTCCTGAGGAAAACGGGTCTGGAGGCTGCTCGCCGTCTTCGGGCCCTCGGAGCCCTCCGCGGGCCCCAGGACCGTCAGCAGATGCGTCAGGGTGAAGGATGTCATCCTGGGGGAAGGCTCCCGGGGTCCAGGACCGGTTTCCCTCGGGAAGGCCCAGCGAGGCGGCGTTGGGTCGCCCAGTCCCCTTCCGGACTTGGGGCCAGGATGGGCAGGGGGGAGGCCAGGCCCCAAGGCCAGTCCAGACGGCTCCGGCGCCGCGGTGCTGAAGCTCCCTGGGTCGACAGCCAGCAGGGGCGACGGCAGGAACGCCGTTGCTCTCCCTTCTTCTCTCTTTTTTTTGGGGGGGTTTTCTCTCTCTCTCTCTCTCTCTCTCCCTCCCACCAGGGGCGACGGCAACGGCGCGATGATTGGGGGATCGCCCCTCCACCCTATTCCTTCTTTTCCCGCTCTATAGGGCAATGCCGCGACCCAGATGCTGATGTTTCCCCACATCCAAAGTGGGGTTCTTGTTTTCTCTGGACACCCCGCGCAGGAGCACAGGAACAGGAAGGAGCACCCCCTCTCTCACTCACTCACTCGCTCACTCACTCACTCACTCACTCACTCACTCACTCACTCACTCACTTACTCACTCACTCACTCACTCATTCACCACATACACACTCACTCACTCACTCACTCACTCACACACTCACATCATCATCATCATCATCATCATCATCATCATCATCATCATCATCATCATCATCATCATCAGCATCATCATCAGCAGCAGCAGCAACATCATCATCATCAGCATCATCATCATCACCATCACCATCACCACCACGTCATCGTCATTTACACTCATTCGCTCGCTCACACAGTCACATTCACTCAGCATCATTACTCCTTTACACACTCACTCACCACCTACCACCCACTCACTCACACACATTATCGTCAGCATCATCATCATCGTCTTAACTCACTCTCTCAATGAGTCGATACAGACCTCATGATCTCTTCTCCCTTCGCACACTCACTCACTCAATGAGTCACACACCATCACCATCATAACACCATCAACCTCCTCGCAATCATTCACTACACCAGTATCATCATCATTCGCTCAATCACCCACACCATCATCACCACCACCCTCATCATCATCATCATCACCACCACCACCACCACCATCATCATCATCATCATCATCATCATCATCATCATCATCATCATCATCATCATCATCATCATAATTATTATCACCATCATCATCATTCACATCGTCATCATCACTCACATCATCATCGTCATCATCATCATCATCACCACCACCACCATCACCACCATCAATTTCGAGGACGTATCAGGCGGGAGCCTCGTCTGTGAGTGAACTACGAGGAAGTCTCAGGCGGGAGCGACCTCCCTATGGGGCCCGCAGCTCATATGAGTAATCCCAGCGAGTCATCGGCCCCCTGCAACTGTCGTCTTTTTCGGGCCCCAGAGGCTTGAATCTGGGGGAAGTATCAGGCGGTAGCCTCGTCTGCGAGTGCATTGCGAGGAAGTCTCGTGCAGGAGCCCCCTCCCTATGGGGCCCGCACTTCATGTTCGAATCCGAAGCGGGTCATCGGACGACGACGACGAGGGTTATTTCCAGATTAGCCGAGAGGATTCTAAGGTGGGGTCGTACCGTCGGGGTAATTACGTCCGCCTGCAATGACGTTGTCCTGGAAGGGCCTGTGCCAACGTTTCGCTTGCTAGCCTGAGACTTGCATCGCAGACGTGTCCTATCCGATCCCTCCTCCTGGCTGATCCGCGGCTCCGGCACCCATCCCACTTTGGGGCAGGTGGCCACGCCGAGGCCTAGAGCGCAAGGAAGAGTCCGACACACCCCCAGCCGCACACCCACCAGCGGTCTGACGTCTCGATTGCCGCACAGGCCACCTCGAGAAGGCCACCGCATGAATCCCTCGCCCCTCCGCCATTGAGGACACGGGCCCCGGCGGGCAGCGGGTCCTAGAAGAGCTTCCGCAATTGTCTTTGGGGGCTCCTGCGGCCCTCCACGGGCCCCAGGACTGCCAGAAGCCAAGGCAGGACAGTACGCTGGTCCCAGGGCGCTCGGCATCGCTCGGACGTGAGCCTCTTCTCTCGGCGAGGACCTTCGAGGAGCACTCCCGACCATCGGGCCAACAAACGCACGCACGATACCGTACAACGTAAAGGGAATGGGCGTCCGGGCGACGGCGAGGGCAAGGCCCGGGGCCCGGGGGTCCGAGACCACTCTCCCTCGGGACCGTAGGCCTGCCAGATGAGGTCGAAGGGGCTGGGGTCAAGCCGGGCCTGTCCCTCCACAGGAGGGAAAGTCAAAAATAGTCAAAGATTAGTATGGGGACGATTTTTTTTTGTTTTTTTTTTCTTTTCTTAAAACCATTGTTGAGTATTTGGGGGGTATTCTTTGACTATTTTTTGTTTTTCGCCCAGAATCCCCCTGTAGGGGGACAGGCCCGAGTTTAACTGTAGGCCTCCCAGATGAGGTCGGAGTGGCTGGGGTCGGAGGATCGCGCCGCATCGCCGATGCGGCTAGATATGGAGCCCCATTTCCTTCACACCGACTTCGCCGATGCATCGCCAACGTCGACTTTACATCGCCAGTGCATCGCCGATACATCGCCGATGCGGCGCGAGCCTCCGACCCCATCTACTCCGACCCCATCTACGAGGCCTCTGAGGACCCGCTTGCTTCCTGCCGATTCCCCCGTTGCCCCACCTCTCAGGGCTCGACCTAAGCAGTATTTTGGCTATCTCGTGGGCCGATTTTGTGTTTTGGCGTTGTTTTGCAGCGGAGGCGGAACAGACACAAAACGAGGGGAAACGAACTCAAAACGAACACGAAAAACACTGATTTGGTGGAGCCCTGCCACCTCCTCGGCCCCGCCGCGGCCCCGACTGCCCGTCCGTGGCACCTTGTGGCGGCCCTCGCCCCGACCCCCGACCCTGCCTCGGCCCCGCCCCGACCCCGCCTCGGCCCCGCCGCGGCCGACTGCCCGTCCGTGGCACCTTGTGGCGGCGGCGGCATCGGCCGCCCCCCGCAAGCCGCCGGGCGAGGGGCGCCTCGATCCGCAGGGCGGGGAGCTCGAGGTTGCAGCGGAG